AAGTGATATCTGCACTTGTTTGTTCATTGCAGCACTCTTGACAATAGCCAGAATCTGGAAAAAAAACCTGAGTGCCCAAGAACAGATGACTGGTTAAAGAAACTTTGGTACATTTACAAAATGGAGTACTATGTAGCTGTTAGAAAAGATGAAGTCATGAAATTCACATACAAGTGGTATTACATGGAAAGTATCATGTTAAGGGAAATGAGTCAGAAAGAGAGGGATAGACACAGAAAGATTGCATTCATCTGGGGAACATAAAGCAACAAAATGGGAGACTAACACCCAGGAGTGATTAGTACCAGGAATTTTTGCTCCACGACTTGGAGGCCAGCCACACGTGCTAGGGGAACAGGAAGCTCAGATAGAGAAAAGAGCACCAAATAAAGCGTGTTGGGAGGATCCTCCCAGGGTGGGAGACGCATGCTGAAAGTAGACTATAGACCAAACATGATTGCCACTCAATGCCTCTCTTACAAACTACAGGACCCAAAGAGAGAGAGAGAGAGAGAGAGAGAGAGAGAGAGAGAGAGAGAGAGAGAGAACAAAAGGGAATGCCCTGCCAAAAAGGCAAGGTGGGATGGGGGGATGGGGGATGGGAGGGACGCTGGGACCCATGGTGGTGGAGGATGGTAGAATGGACGCTGGTGGAAGGATGAGAACTTGATCATTGTATAACTGAAACCCAAGCACAAAAATTTGTAAGTCTATAACTGTACCTCATGGTGTTTCACTAATAAAAAAATAAATAAATAAATAAAAATAAATAAAATTTAAAAAAGGAATCCTGCCTTAGTGCTAATTACGGTCTGTCAATTCAAAACCATTGACGATAGTTTTCTTTAGAGATGACATTATAGATGGAATTTTCAGGATTATAAGGAGTGGGTTGTGCCTCTAATGTTCCTATACTTATAAGAAACTTTTGGTTGAGTATAAATCAAAGCATCATGCAACCTAGTGAAGTTATAGTGTATCCCGATGATAACAGTGGAATAGAAAGTTTTTCTAACTCTAGATTATGCTGTGCTTAATAGATATCATTGTGTCTTCTGAAAGCATTGTAGTTTGCAAGTTATTGAAAAACTGACTCCTTTTTTGTGGGGTGGAGGTTAGGGCCATATTTGATTATGCTCAGGACTTACTCCTGAGTTTGTGCTCGAGAATCTAACTGGGTTTGGCCACATGCAAATACCACCATACCCACTGTACTATCACGCTGGCCCATTGAGGAGTCTTTTGTGGTATATTTCTGGCTCCTGAAGTGGAAAGTTTCTTAGTGAATTCTGGCAAGTGAAGGACTAATTCTGGGAAAAGAGTCAATTGTCTATAAAACGTCGAAGGTAAGTCTGAGAAGGAACCAAGATGTATATAGAACTTTTTGTTTTGTTTTATATTAGGGCCACACCTGGTGGTGCCTAGGACTTACATCTGGCTCTGTGCTCAAGAATCCCCCTGGAGGCACTCAGAGAGCCATATGGGGCCCAGGGGACAAAAAGCCGGTCTGTTACTTGCAAGGTAAGTGATTTACCCACTATATTAACTCTTGGACCTATCTATAGGACATTTTAGACCAATTTCAAGAAGAAAGTGAAGATAAAGATCTAGCAATGAAACTGCAGCACTGAATGAGGAGTCTGTGAGCACCCTTGGAATGGTCTACTGTGTAGCGGGCTGCTGTCTCAGGCATTTCCGAGCTGCAGGCAGGGTTAGGCATCTCCTCCTGAGGCTAATATCAGATCACTTCACTCAACACCTAAAACTCCTTTTCAAATATCAATAGAAACTGGAGATTTTATATGTGCTTGCAGGGAAAGTTTAAGGTCAGTCACGTTTTGAGAGACACAGAAGAACTGAGAAAGGCGTGTCCCTCTCCTGGTCTACTATCCGGAAGACAATCGAGAGAAAGCACAAGCCCTCCAGTTCTGCTGATGATAAATCAAAGCATGAAGACAAATATGGGTCAGAAAAATGGATCAGTGGACTGGAGCTCACAGTCTGCCTGAGGGAGGCATGGGTTTGATCCCCAGGACTGCGTAGTCCCCTGAACCCCACCAGGAATGACTCCCAAGCACCAAACCAGGAGTCATCCATGTGAACAGCTGCTTGTGTCAAAAATAGCAACAACAAAACAATAACAAATTATTGGCATGAACATCAGGAATCCCATTGACCATCCTGGACTTTTAAGACAATTTTTCCAGGCCAGTGGGATAGTATAGTGGGTTTGGGTGCTTGCCATACATGTGATCAACATGAATTCGGTTCAAATCCCTGGCATCCCATATGGTCCTCCAAGTCTCTCCAGAAATGTCTCCTAACAGAGCTAGAGTGAATATTGAGCACTGCTTGTTGTGACCCCGAAACAAACAGCAACAACAACAGCAAAAGTTTATTTTCACCAACCGAGAGACATAAATGTCAAGACTACCAGGGCTCCCATGAAAGCACCTGAGCAGAACCCAGAGAGAAACACCCTTGGAATGAAGATTCTCCCATGTCCTTCCAGTGGTGCTGTGGCCTCAAAGAGAGGCTGCCAGAAGAGAGTTGCAGGTGAAGCTACTTCTGATGCTCTTCCTGTACAGAGCCCCTCAGAGCACATGTCGGCTTCACTTCCTGTCAGAGGCTGGGTCCTGCTTGCCAGGACACTGTCCTTTCTTATGGCTGGAGAGGCGCTGAAAGTCCTATAAACTTCACAAGGAAGTCTCCTTTCCTTATTTCACGCCCCTGACTCCAGGCTGTCCCCATGTTTTCTTGCTGTGAACCAGGAACTACGGTGTGGGTGTTAGTACTCATTCTGCCCGCCAGATACCCTTGTGCATCTCCTCCAAAGCCCTGCATGATTACAGTGAATCCTCCGCAGGTGTTTCTTCTTTTAAATACACGCACAGACACACATACACAAACGCACATTCATTCACGATCTGAAGTTATGAAAGTTCATGCCAGCCTGCAGGGAGAGCGCCAAGGGATCATGAGCTCCAGGTATGCACAGGAATGTAGGGCAATTCCTGGTCCTTCCTGGCCTCCAGAGCACCTTGGTTTGTTCTCAGCACTGCTGGGGATGCCCCAAACGAATAACAGCCAAACTTTCACAGTGCCTTTAGCCCCAGAAACAAAACCTTCTGCGAATCCCACCCCAACCAATCTGGTCACACTCTAATAAAGGAAAGATTTGTTCCTGTGGGTTTGACAAAACCACTGGGCAGGGGTGCCTGAATGCAGGCCCCATCCTCACCCTGCAAGTGTTGGGCTCCAGAAGACTCCAGCTCAGATCCTACGAGCAGCCCTCAAACTACTTCATAAGTATAATCAAAAACCCTGGGACCTCAGGGCACAAGGAAATTCCCAAGGATCTTCAATGTTCTGCCTGAAATGGGCACAGGGCAAAACTCTTTTCTTTTTCTCTTTGGGACTTGGTGCTCTCGGGCATCTGTTTCAGTGCCTGAAGTAACGATGTTGCTGGAGGACCACCTTTGAGGAATTCTCAGGTCACCCAGGGAGGTAATGGAAGGGGAACCCAGTGTTCATCAGAAAAACATCCATTGGTGCTGGGTTGACCATGGGGTGCGAGGGATCCAACCTCGGTTGGATCCATGTAAGTGACACTTGTACTATTTTTCCCCAAATAATAAATCTTTATTTCTCTATGTTGGTTTGGTTTTCCTGTTGTTGTTGGTTTGGGGCCACACGTAGCTGTGCTCAGGACTGAATGCTAATTCTCTCAGGGATAACTCCTGGTGGGGCTCTGGGAACTTGGGTAACTTGAAAATATGAACTCGGAGGCATGCTAAAAAGAATAAATAATATCTTTCACAAGTTTGCTATTCAAGAGCCTGCAAATATGTACTCAGGTTTTTCTTGCCTGTTTTCTTTTGAGGGGGGCCATATCCAGTGCTTCTCAGGCTTACTTCTGGCTCTATATCAGGGACCACTCCTGGTGGGGCTCAGGGACCATCTGAAGAGGAAACCGGGTCAGCTGCAGACAAGGAAAGCACTTCACCTACTATACTATGGCTCTGGCTCAAACTAGCACATTTTCACACGAGGAAAGAACGAATAGATGAGAGGCCATGGTTTCCTTTTCATCCACGTGGGTTCTTCTCCCAGGGATAGAAACAGAATGAAAAGCTGATCTAAGTTGGTCTCTATATTAATGAAGCCAAACAGGTGGGGTTTTTTGTTTGTTTGTTTTGTCTGTTTTTGTTTTTGGGCCACACCCAGTGGTGGTGCTCAGGGCTTACTCCTGGTTCTGCACATAGACATCAGTCCTGGTGGTGCATTGGTGACCAAATGGGGTATCGGGGATCAAATGCAGGTTGGCCTCGTGCAGGCTAGCACCCTCAACTCCTTAGGATCACTCTTATCCACAGGTATTTGTTTTGGTTTTGGGCCACTTCCTGCAGTGCTCAGGGTTGATTCCTAGCTCTGGGTTGGTGGGGATGGGGGATGGGGGGCGGGTCACTCCTGCTGCTGTCTGGGGGATCATATGTGGTGCCAGGGAGTGAACCTGGGTTCACCATGTGCAAGGAAAGCGCCTTACCTCAGGAATCTCTCCAACTCCCATATAGGAGTGATTCCTGAGCACAGAGAAGGTGCAAGTCCTGAGCACCAAGGTGAGTGGGCCGAAAACAAAAACAAAAACAAAGAAAGACCAACAGGACATGATGACATATATGCCTGTTTACATATTTGATACTTTCGTTGAGATTTCGGCAATATTCAGCCATCCTCTGGAAACAAACCCTTTTCTTCAAACTCGGTCATTTATGTCAATTTGTAAGATGAATTAGATGCTTAGGAAGGCAGAGAGGAGTGTCCCGCCCTAAAGACTAAGCCCTGCCTCAGGCGTATCCCAGGGAATGTGAGACCTGGGCTATGAGGATTGGGCAGAAGCCTAAATCTCCCAACCAATAGGAGCAAGCTCCGCCCACCCACAGTGTTATAAAAGGATGAGTTCTCTCCTCATCCATCACTCCTGCTCTGGACCTGGCAGAATGAAGGTCGTCTGCGTGCTCGGGGCTTCAGGACCTCGCTTGGCCGAGAAGAGGTCTCCTTGCTTCGGATGTGAAGACCTGGATCTGGCCGAGAGAGGACCTTGCTTTGGCTTCAGGATGATGTCCGGATCTGAAGACCTCCACCCTCATGAACCTGCGCTCCAGCACACTGCTGCAAAGCCACCATTCCCAGAGAAGGCCTGTTCTGGCTGGAACTCAGAGAGGGAGAAAGGTAAGAATTCCCCTCCCGAGGGGCACAATTCCACCCTGGTGGAAGCCTTGGAATGGACTGAGTGCCTGAAGCCTGGTGGTGGCCTCGGAGCTGGGTTCCAGAGCAACGCCTCTGTGGGACTTGCAGGACTAGCCTGACACCCAAACTCTGTATTTGTCTGCAGGTCCAGAGCCCCAGAGCACGGAGGACAAGCACATGGATCATGAGGCCTGGGGTGAGAGCAGCTTCGCAGACCAATCAGGTAGGAGGACATGGTATCCCAGGGGAGTCGAGGGGTTGGGGGGAGGTCCTGGCCTCCGGGTGTCAGGGATTTACTCTCACTGTGTTGTCAGAGTCAGAAAACAGCTCTGAGGAAGATGAAGACAGAGGCTGGAAGAGGCAAAGGAGACGGGGCAGCCGCCGGCCCCACACAACAGGTGAGTGTTGCTTTAGGATCCCAGGGACCGCCAAGGGGCGGGTCATAGTCAAGGTCTTTCGAGGGTTGTTCAATGGGGGAGCCCATTGGGAGCCCTCGGGATCCTTGAGGACAAGGTAGAGGGGCGGGGAGGAGGTCGTGCTGTGTCCTGGACTGGGGGGTTCCTCAGGAAATGAGGTGCCATGTCTCAGACCAGCTGTTTCCTCTGTAGGGAGCCTCTCAGATGCAGAGTACAATGGGGAAAATTTAGGTGCCAGTCTCCCAGAGGGCCCCGCCTCTGCTCACCACAGCTGCAGTGAAGAGGCCCACAAGGATTCCTCTCCCCAAAGAGCTCAGAGGAGGCCCCTGTCACCGGGACCCAACAGCAACCCCGTGAACAAGAAGCTCAAGTCTCAGTCGCCCAGACTCCAACGCAGCTCTCGTCACAGGCACCCCTCTCTTCAGAAGCGCCCCTCTCTCCGGCGAGGCCTGGTGATGGCCCTGCGCTGCCTGTCCCAGGCTGTGTACGAGGATGTGGTGCAGGTATGGAGGCAGCAGGTCTACACCCCACTCTCTCACGAGCACCGGGCCCTGCTCACTCAGCTCCAGGTGCCCCTCACAGGCCTGGTGCAGACCCTCTGCTCCATGGGCAGCCAGGCAGCCTGGGCCTTCCCTGCTGAGGGCTGGATGGTGGCTAGCTCCCCCATGGCCCAAGATGCACAGTGCTCCTCCCATGAGTGAGGCGGCCCTTTCGCCACATCCCAGAGGCAGGGCCTGTAACCGGGTCTCACTAGGCTCCAGCTGACACCCCCAGCGCCCAAGACTCCTGCAGAAAAAAGAGGCCTGTGACTTCTCAGAAGCTTCCAAAAGGAAAGCGGAACCTGCTCTACCCAGACTAGTGATGACCGAGAGAACTGGGGTGATTTGTCACTATGAAGGGACTCGAAAGACCAGGAAATGGGACTCTGGCTTCCAAGACACTGACCAACACTGACATTGCCTGACACATGGGGTTGGACCCCTGGAGGTCTCAGGACGGACATGTTCTTCAGTGAGAACAACAGGGCATTGTCTGTTTCTAGTAATTTGTGCTGGGGGCTTGGGGCACATCTCCTGCCACACTTAGGAGAAACTCCCCGGGGTTGGGGGTGGCAGGGGACAGGCAGAGCAGGTTATGGCTGGCTCATGTTCATCCCAGCCAGGCATCCTACTGCAGTCAGAGTTCAGCATCAATTAGATCTAACTGGACAAAATCATGATGAAATTGCTGTGAGCCGGTTTGGCTTTAGTAGTTTCATAAAAACCCTCTCAAGGCATAGGAAACAAGCTTGACCTGGGGGGCTCACCCCACCCAGTGCAGAATGAGGTTCCTTTGTTTTTACTTTATTTATTATGATAATGGATAAATGATCCAGCAAGATTTTAGGTATTTCTCTTAGCATGTTTTTCTGTGTTTACACTGGGATTTTAAAAATAGGCCATCATAGCATGTATATTTTTTGAAGATTTTTTGCAAATATTATTTATATTATATAATATAATAAATATATTATATTTCATTATAATAATATAATATTGTTTGCAGACAAACAAAACTATATATAGAAATATATATTTATAAATATATGCAAATATATAATATATATAAATATTATATATTATATTGTCTGCAAATATTGTTTGCAGACAAACAAAACAACAACTATTTGTGTCATTGACCGAGCATGTCATGCATATATGTGTAAGGCTTGGACCTGAGCTTGACTAGCAGTACTATTAAGTATAAATATATATATATGCGTACATGTACATATAGATATATATATAATGAGTATGTATTCACAAAATTAAAAATAATCTTAATAGCACATAATAAACCTAGCAACTAAATAAGTTATCATTATTATCAAAATGAAGTGTCTCTGGAACTCTAAAGAATTCTTTTAAGTGCCATAGAGTTAGTACAATGGGTAGAACACTCGCCTTGTATGTGGCTGACCTGCATTCTGTCATGGGCATCCCGGTATGGTCACTTGAACACTGCCAGGAGGGATCCCTGAGTGTGGAGACAGAAGTAACCCTTGAGGATCACCAAGCGTGGACCCCTGAAAATATCTTGAAAGATAGAATTTACATGGTACAGGTCCAGGGACTATGTGCACATTGGGGGGCGCACTCAGCAGAGATCTGGGGATCACATGGTACTGGGAGACCCAGCTGGGAGTGCAAATGCCTCTAAACTTTATGCTATTTCTCTGACCCCATCCTTGCTTGATTTTCTTTTTCAACGATTTGGGGTCAGGAGCACACCTAGCAGTGCTCAGGGGCAACTCCCTGACAGTGCCCCGCCACATGCGAGACAAGTGCCTTATCCCCTGTAGTCTCTGTCTTGCACCCTCATGAGTGATAGGGTGATGGGGAATAATTGAGATTTTAGACTGTCATAAGTCTTATGTATCAGAATATGTTGTAGGAAAAAATATGAAATGGGTCAACAATTTGGTTCATACTATGGCCAGAGAGATACAGAGGTTTAAGAAATCAAAGATTGGATTTCTTCTACCCCTATCTGGCCTGTAAGGCCAGTAATTCCAACACCACCCCAGAGCATTCTTGTTGAGACCCTGCCCAGCTCCATTCCTGCCCACTTCTGTTTCAGGCTTCAGGAGGGGTCAATTTTCACCCCAAAGGGAAATGAGTTTGCCTGGAGGAGTCATGGCTATTCCCTGAGCTTCAGCTCCGTGTAGTGCCCAGAGCCCTGACCACTGCAAAACCGTCTCCGTCTTCCAACTCCGCGCGTTTACTCCGCATCCGCACTTCCCTGTGGTCCCCGCGCTAGGCCTCTCCCTCCTTCACCTCCCACCTCCACTGGTCTCCCGACCCACCCCTCATCACCACGCCCATCCCTGGCCCCCTGCTGCGTCCCAGAGCTTCCCTGTTCCCAACTTAAGGACCATGTCCACGTCATCACGTCTGTCTTCATCTTCCAGTCCCGGTATGACCCTGGCCCCTGTGGGGCAGCTGCGGGCCAGCACAGCCAGAGAAGCGGGGACGGGGCAGGAACCCCACAGGGACAAAGGCTGCTGCCCGGCCCATGCGGCTACACATTCGATGATGACGCGAAGAGGCTGCCCTCAGGAGCACAGCGCCTGCCAGGCTCTGGGATGCGATCTCTCAGGGCTGGGGTGGGAGGGTAGCGGGCCTTGCTCCGGTTGGCCCTGAGAGTTTCGTCAGGTCTGTTCATCCTCGTGCCTGGCCGTCTCATGCGAGGGCCGGTGCTCCTTCCTCACCGAGGCCCCCAGTGTCACCGGTGATGAGAGCTGCGGGTGGTCCATTGGAAACAGAGGAGCTCCCTCTCACGATGTGAGACACGCGGGCACACACGCACAAACACCCACAAACATACAGACACACTCAGACACGTGCACACATACACATGCACACACATATACGTACCAATACGCACGGTAGTTCCAACTCCTTGGACCATGCACCAGAGCTGGAGCTGTGTAGTGTAGGTGATGCAACTTGTTGACACCTGCAAATGGTGTGCTTTCCCACAAACTGCAGCAGTGTTTGATTGTGGGTTGTAAGTCCCATCTCCTTGGGGGATGCGTGAGCAATCTAGCAATCCAGCAAGAGATGGAGCATAGAGAGAGCGGCAAAGTGGGCGCAGGTTAGGGACCGGAAATCTGAGGATGAGATTTCGCCTCCAAAACAGAAGTTTCGGTTTGCACAGGAGTAAATTTATTATTATTATTGTTTTTGTTGTTGTTATTGTTATTAAAAAAGTTATTACTCTAATTCACACATTTTGAAACCAATTGTCTTGAATGGAATCTTACACGTTGCCAGATACATTGATTACTAACTAACTGGATCAGTTCACATTTTATTTATAATTTATTTATTTATTGAATCACTGTGGGAAAAGTTACAGAGCTTTCAGGTTTAGGTCTCAGTCATGTAAATATCAAACACATTTCCCTTTACCAATACTTATTTTTTTACCACGAACCCCAATAGAACCCCACCTCCCACCCCTCCCAATTTCCTGTGAGGCAGATGATTCTAGTTCACACTCTATATACTTTGACTAGATTCATTGTTTTGATAAAAGATGCACCATTATTGTTTAGAGTTTACCACCACCACCCCAAATCAGACATGCTGAAAAAGTGTTGTGAAATGATTTGCTTTCTACAGCTGGGTTCAAGAATTAAACGTTTTGGATCTGGTTTTGGATTTCTGCTATTTTACTTATTAACCCTGGAAGTATTTCCACTAAAAGTTAGATAATTAAGAGATTGGTTTCTGTGCTCTGGAGTCGTGGATGTGCTGGAGAGCCGCTCGTGGGGGCAACTGGTGACCTCGGTTGGGCTCGAAGGACGGGCCGGAACGCCCCCCTTCCCATGAGATTTTTGTCGCCCCCAACCCCCGGCTCATACCTGCTGTCCACAAGGCTCCCATGTGGCCGCCATCTTTCTTTCCAGAGAGGAGAGGGCGAATGGGGCAACACCCTTTACCCTCGGGGCAGGCATGATGGCCTGGATTAACACATAGTCCATTCACTTTTCTGCTCCAAGCTGCTGGGTTCTGCATTAAGTCCTTGTGCTTCTGGGGCCGTGGCTGTGCCAGAGAGCCGCTCGTGGGGGGCAAATGGTGACCTCAGTAGGACGTGAAGGACGGACCAGAACACCCCCCTTCCCATGAGGTTTTTGTCGCCCCCGACCCCCGGCTCATACCCGCTATCCACAAGGCTCCCGTGCGGCCGCCATCTTTCATTCCAGAGAGGAGAGGGCGAAGGGTGCAACACCCTTTCCCCTCGGGGCAGGCATGATGGCCTGGATTAATGCATAGTCCGTTCGCTTTTCTGCTCAAAGCTGCTGGTTTTCTGTGTTAAGTCCTTGTGCTTTTAGGGCCGTGGCCATGCCGGAGAGCTGCTCGTGGGGGGGGCAACTGGTGTCAGTTTACATTTTTAACCATTATTCCCAGTTTTCTTGAAGAGTTTCTTTTTTTTTTTACTCAAACTTAAATATTTTAACCTAGTTTTGTTTGCTAGCTGTTTCTAAATGTTTTAGATCATGGACAGATAGTGAGGCCAACAAACTCTCTTTTACTTTTTTTTTTTTTTAGCTTTTTGGGTCACACTCGGCGATTCACACGGGTTACTCCTGACTCTGCACTCAGGAAATATTCCTGTAGGTGCTCAGGGGACCATATGGGATGCTAGGAATCGAACCTGGCTCTGCTGGGTGCAAGGCAAACATCCTACCCGCTGTGCTATTGCTCCATCCCCCTCTATTTTGCTTTTAATTGGTGAAATTTTAATATTTCAAATCGCTTAAGGCGTGTTCTCAGGATATCTATGTGTAAATAATAAATGCATACAGCTAGTGCATCATTTCAAATGTTGTGTGTTTGCTCTTTAGCATGAGATAAAACCTCCATAAGACAGAATTTTACACATGGAGAGCATCATGCTAAGTAAAATTGGTCAGAAAGAGAGAGACAGACATAGAATGACTGCGCACTCATTTGTGGAATATAAAGTAACATAATGTGAGACAATTAGCTAAGGATAGTAGAGATAAGGGCCAGGAGGATCGCTCCACAGTTTGAAAACCAGGCTATCGTGCTGGGGGAAAAGGCAGTTGGATGGAGAAGGGCCCACTAAGTCAATGATGGTTGGAGGAATGGGAGACATGCTGAAAGTAGACAAGGGACCAAATATGATAGCC